AAGGTGACTGTGATGAAGAATTTGTTGAGAGTAAGAGTTAGTTCTGTCTTTTCTAAGTGAAGACAGATCTACATAATATCAAAGGTCAAGTAGGAGTTGTTCCTGAGTCTGATGTTAATAAGTGTGATTGCCTGCACATACCAGGGCTAATACAGTGTGTTTTGGAAATTGAATGCTAAAGTATAGCCAAATTTATTATTGATATTTGGAACCGACTCAATGGCAGTGAGTTTGGCTTTTGGTTTTGGTTTAGTAATTTTACACATGTGCTTCTTTCAGCCCAGTTCTCTCAGTTCTACGTTTCAACTAGCATCTTTAGCATAGAGTGACAGAAGTGCCCTAGTTACATCCCTGTCTTGGAGCACCGGGTGTATTTCGTCCTACACATATGGAGTATATTTTGAAAGTGTATTTGAGGACTGCACAGAGGAGAATGTCACTTCCGTCAACAATGTAATGCTTGCTGAACTCATTCTTGAAATATGTCCACAGTATTAAGTCAGTGTGAGGGATTAGTAAGATAACATGATTAGTCTCTGACTAATTGAATTGTAGGAGGCACATTCTCCAGACAGTAAAGGCTCTATTTTGAACAACCCCTTGACCAATTTTAAGCCTAGTACACAAAAAACCGTAATGTTATTTCCATTCTTTTTTATTGATCATTTTATTGGGAGCCCTTACAGATGTTATAGCAATCCATAATTCAGTTAAGTCAAGCATAATTTTACAATTGCTCACACAATCAGTTTCAAAACAGTTTCTTTCTTCTTGAGCTCTTTGATATCAGCTCCCCTTTATCCGTCCCTCCCCTATGTCCATCCTCTCTGTCAGATGCAGGTGATGTGTTGGGATTCTTTTGGAATACTAGACTTTTATTACTAATTCACTTTCCAAGATATGATCCAAATATAGAATTGTTATCCAAATTGGAAAGCTAATTTCCCAAACATCAGTTTGTATTTACAAAGTGGATGGCTTACACACTGTGGGAAAGTTAAAGAATTAAGCTCTGTTACCTGGTGCCATTTTGGGGAAAAGTGGGTGTCTGTGACCAGACCTGAGAGCGGTGCTGACGAAGTTGTAGTAGGACTAGTAGGACGTTACTTGCTGGTCAGTGCTTCATAGTCATAACCAAGTCCGCGTGGGCCTTTGCTCACGGGGAAAGATGAGGCTGTCTGCTAAACTTTTAGTCTTAGGAACCCTGTATAACAATTCTGCACTGCTCTAGATATCAGAATCGCCTCGAAAATAGTAGGTTGAGTTTGGGCTTTTATGGGTCCTTGTAGTTTATTTCTCCTCCTTTGTCTTCCATTCAATTTTCCCTGTTTGCTGTTAATGTCACACATTGGGCTCATGGTGTTTTATTTCCTTTAAAATACTTAAAAACAAAGTAAACTAATTTTGGATTACTCTAGACTCTTCAGCTTACCATGTGTTTATATTGCCTCTCTCTCTCTGTTTCTCAAGAAGTCAGCTGTAGGATTAGAGAGAGTCACAAGAATAAGGTGAATTTAAAGTTAAGATTGGGAACGCTCTGGAATGTGAGTGTATTTCCTCCCAGTTTTTGAATGGATGACTATTGGGATGAGAGGTTCGTGTTTGTTTGGGAGTTTTGCAGTTGTTGTTTGCTTTATCTAATGATATCTTGGAGACCAAGAGGTTTTTATGTTTGTTTTAAATGGGATGCAAAATCAAGTTGTTGGTTCATAGATTATTAAATAGTTCAGATGTTTGTTTAATTCATAGCACCCTACTCCAAGATATTTGCAAGAGGAATGATTAGTTTTAAATTCTTCTAGCTAGTCTTAGGATCATCATATGAGCAAACTACAGAATTTCTCTAAGTAGCCACAATTTTAGTATGACTGGCATTAAGACGAAAGGCCTATATCCAGAACAAATTATATGAATTTTAATTTGTGGTTCTGCTCCTTATTCGTTTTGTGACCTTTGGCAAGCCATAATCTCACTGTAAAATTTCTCATCTGTAAATATGAAGATGGTAATATTATATGTTTCATAGGCACTTCTATGAGTGGTAAATGAGTTAATTGATACAAAACATATAGGGCAGTACCTGACATGAATATTAACTACTACTATTTATCCTATAATGATTTCTAATCAGCAATCTCCTAATGAAAATTTAAAACATAGTGATGTAAAACTAGTGAATTTTTTGCTTGGCATCCATGATTATGAGATTATGGTTTCTTGATTTTAACATTTCTTCACAAAAAGTTGTTTTAGAATTTCCCTGTTAAAAAGGCATTCCTGAGCGGTAACTTCTAGGTGGCCATGTTGTTTAATTAGGTGCCCTTGTGACACTGTGGGTTAGGTATTGAGCTGCTAACTACAACATTGGTGGTTCTAAACCAACCACCCTCTCTTCAGAACAAAGAAGAGGCTGTGCTCCTGTAAAGATTTACACTTTGGGAAGCCCTACCTAGGCTCTCCGTCAGTTGGAAGTAACGCGGTGGCACTGAGTGTATTTTTTAATAGGCAGATAAATGAGAAAAGGCTATTCTTAAATACAACAAGTCTATTGTACTTTTGTGGCTTTAATTTATACCAGTCACTAGAAAAATAGTTTCCTTCCAAGAAGCGACTTTGTTCAATTTATATATTAACAGATTATAAAAATCACAAACAAATTACTCAGAGTTCAACTGAATATAAACATTTAGAATATTATATCTGCTTGGTATACTCCTTTTAATTATATCATGAAAGGCATAGCAAGATCATTTAGCTGAGTCATAAGCTAAACTGCCTATTTGTATTTGAAGACTACAATCGGAAGCATTTTGGGTAATTTAGAGACATGACTCTGATGTAAATATGTCAGTCGTTTTAGGAGGAGGAGAGAGGATTGCAGCATGAGGCCTTTTTACTGTAAAGTCTAAATGCAGTTTCCAGTTTCTAGGTTGGGCTTGGGCCTCTGAAGCATAGTGTTTAGAGTTTGGAAAGAACTATCTTTACAAAGAAAACTAAATGGCATTTGTGAAGATGAGCTCTCTTCCCCCTCCCTTCCTTTGGGTAGTTTGTATCGTTATTATTGTGATTACAGCCTCTTTCTGCCCGCTGGGGGGTGAAGGCCATACCTAGGAGCCGCCAAGCTCTGAGCATTGCTCTCCTGGGTCATAGGAGGCCACAAGGGTTCTCCAAAGCCATCCGATCATCCTTCATGTATATTGATGGTGGCCCTGGCTGATCTCCTCTCGGTCCTAAGTGTAGTGCATCTTCCATCTCTTTAATCCATCACCAACTGTTCTTTCTGCTCTTTCATACATCTTATAACATTTCCCCTCATCTTTCACTTGGCCTCTTCTCTTGCTTGGTGTGTGTTGTTTATCGGAGAATGCGAACATTTAGTGCTTTCCCCTTCCTTTACTCCTTCTCTGCGCTCACACAATTTGGGTTCCAAAGCAAGCTACCCAAACTTTAGAAGTCCTCTTCCAGACGTTTCCTCCTCTTGCAGCAGCGACATGTCTGTAGATGCTTCACATTTTAAGCTATTTTATGTAGGCTTCTAGCTTTTTTTCTTGCCTTATAGAGCAACTTCACTTTGTAACAATTGGTATTTTATAGATGGTCAAGAATTTAGGGTTAAAAATCAGCGACTTTAGAATGCAGGCTTAATTCTTAAAGGAGTTTTTCCTAGTGTTGTCTAGATTAACTAATATTCTAAAATAACAAAGTCCTCAGGGAGAAGTTGTTCCTTTTCCCATATTGATCAACTTAAGGATTTTATTGATCATTAAACTTGGCTATGTAGATTGTTATTTCTGCCCTTAGATCAGAAGAGAGGGGATGCTAAATTTATAAGCTGTTTCGTTTCTGTAGCTATTAAAGCATCATGGTGTCCCAAGAGAGTTCTGGGAAGTAGCTATCCTACTGACTCGGCCACGTTTCTCTGTTGGCAGTCCTCCTGGCCTGCAGCCATTGATTCACGGGCACAGGGACATAAAACTGGAGAGGACATCGTAAAATGTGTATGTGTAGATATTTGCTAATTAGGTTGGGATGAATAAAGCTGTTGTGCTTCCTTAGCTTTGGTATTTCTGTTGACTTCCTCGGTCAGGGTATGTAAATGTGTAGTTGAGAATTAGGGAGCCATGTAGTCAACCAATAGCGCACAGTATTGGTACATGGTCCTTCAAGATCCCTAATGTACAGAGCATGGGGAAGTAGAAGGAGGATTGAGCCCTATGCTCTCTCTTTGATTTGTTTGGTGACTGTAAACATTCCAAATGAGAATAAGCCAAGCAGCTAAGACATTTGCAAACTGCCAAGTGGTAGGGCTGTGAATTGTTATCTATGGAAATTAACTTTTATCTCTAAATAAACTATATGAAGAGGCTTAAACACTCCATAGAAACTTTTCATTGAAGTTTCAATTTTTAAATGAAATTTTCCCCTATTTCTTTCAAGTGTTTGAACCCTTTTTCTACTTAGAGAGTAATTTAAAAAAATTACTTAATGTAAACTTCTTGGTCCTAACTTTTATCTGGAGTAAAAAGAAATAGACAAAAGTTGGGATAATCTTTTTTACTCCAGATAAATTTCGCGCTATTTGGATATAAGTTCAAGGTGTGTGTGGGTGGGGTGGGGTGAGGCTGGGGGGAGGGGAGGTAGCTTAATGTTCTCTTGTTTACCTTAGTTATTTGGATGGAAATAAGTGTAAGTCCATTAGTATTGGACAGTCTACTAACCTGTAATAATGAGACTCTAAAAACAAAAACAGAAAAATCCCCAAGCTCACTGGTATGAAATCACTTATGATGGCAGGTAGAACTTCCCTTGCGGGTTTTCAAGACTGGAAGAGTCTCTATGAGAGTAGAACGCTTCATCTTGCTCCCAATGAGAGTACTAACAACTAAATTATCAATCAGCCCTCACAGTACCATTATCAAATGGTAATCGCATTGCCCTCATTTTACAGATGAAGTACCTAAGGTTTAGAGACAGAAACTTGCTCCGTGTAACACACGCTAGTAGTGGCCGAGCCGAATGAGAACGGGGCTGGGCCAGGAAAGGAACTCTGGCTACTTGTGCTGCGTGGCCTAGGGCTGAGCATCTGTCTCTTTCCTGCATGAACTTTGCCTAACTGGACATCACCTGTCCGGTTCCTAATAATGATGGGTAATTTATTAGAAAATATTCTTCTTTCATAAAGCTCTTGACCTTTCTTGAATCCAGTAAAGGAAAAAAGGGCTTTCTCACTCCTGTTTATACTGAATCTTACAAATTATTAGTTTTCTTTTTCTTTTTTTAATCATTTTATTGGGGGCTCATACAACTCTTATCACAGTCCATACATACATCAGTTGTATAAAGCACACTTGTACATTCATTACCCTCATCATTCTCAAAGCATTTGCTCTCCACATAAGCCCCTGGCCTCGGCTCCTCATTTTTCCCCCTCCCTCCTCGCTCCCCGCCCTCATGAACCCTTGATAATTTATAAATTATTATTTTGTCATATCACACACTGTCTGACATCTCCCTGCACCCACTTTTCTGTTGTCCGTCCCCCAGGGAGGAGGTCACATGTAGATCCCTGTAATCAGTTCCCCCTTTCCATCCCACCCTCCCTCCAGCCTCCAGGTGTCACCACTCTCACCACTGGTCCTGAAGGGATCATCCGTCCTGGATCCCCTGTGTTTCTAGTTCCCATCTGCATCACTGGTCTAGCCAGATGTTTGCAAATTATTTTTATACAACAAATTTGTCTTGATACTCAGTATAGTACCAAAGTCTCTTAGGTGGTACACCTTTGCCTAAAAATTTGATCATAAGTAAATTTCTGCTTCCTTCCATAAAATTACTGAATGGGAACTTGATTGCAATGGAAGTAGATATAGTGGTGTGGAAGGAAATTTTTTTAATTTAATTTTTTTAATAAATCATTTTATTGGGGGCTGATACAACTCTTATAAAAATCCATACATCAATTGCATCAAGCATGTTTGTACGTATGTTGCCATCATCATTTCCAAAACATTCTCTTTGTACTTGAGCCCTTGGAAGGTAATCTTTACAAGCCTAATTAGTCATGCTGGGTTTCTGTTCCAAATCATTTGATCGTGCTGTCTTTAATTTTTAGGAATGAAAATTACATTTTAGATATTTTGGGGTTTTATCATTTGCTTTTCATAAAGAGGAGTGTGCAGGCACACGGGCATCTATAGTTCATCTGATTACCAAGCACTTGGGAGATTCTGATATGAACTTTTAATTATGGACTGATTTTAGAGTTAAAGATAGTTGCAAAAATAGTAGTTTCCATACATTATTTACCCAGCTATAGTCGACCTTTGCTATTAGCCTATTTGGGGAAATCTAGTGTTCTGGCCACCTGAGCACTGAAAAGGATTCCCAGTAAAGCACTGGAACGTGATGGCCTGCACTTAGCCACAGTGGTAGTGTTTCCTCTGCGTGCGTGTTCGGCAGCCGCCTCAAATACGAGGGACGGGTCTGAGTTGCCTTTTGTCTTCAAGATACAACTAGATACAACATTGGCTAAAGGAAAACAATCATTGTGCTACTTGATATTTCTTATAAACACGGAGAAAAGACTTGTTATTTGAAGTTTATCATAGATCATATTATAATATTTGTATGTCAAAAATGATTTTCTTCTTATAAACTACTAAATATGTAGGCTTCCTCTGAAACCCGGGACTGAAGACTTGTAGTACACACTTTAGCTGTGAAGGTCTGTATACACCATAAGTTTATTTTCAAGCATTTATAAGAAAAATGCTAAGTGTGGCGTATCATGTCCATGAACATGCTATTTTGGAAGTTAGATGTTCTGTATAGACGGTCTCTAGCTATTTTTCAAACTTCTAAAGTTTGACAGATTACTTATATTAAGATGTTAATTAGAACTCAATTTTCTCGGCTGGAAAGCAGGTATTGTGCTGGTATCAGAGTAGCCGTGGATTCATTCCAGGGATTATTTCTTGCTCTACCTCTGCCAACCCCATAGGCTTATGAACCGTGTTAATGCTGACTGGTGTGTTTAAGAAGTAACTAAGTGTAGAAAATGACTAGCCACAGGACAAGACTCGCCATTTACTGAGAGATGGTAGCATCAGAGCCGTGTGCATGTTACGCTGCCCAAAATACCAATTTGACTTTGGAAAGGAAAGCTACCAACTATACCCTTTTTCTTAAAACAGACCCATATCCATTCCTGTAGGAACAGATGCTGGAAAAATTGTTCCCGAACACCAGACCCTACAATGCAATGGTTAAGTTGTTTTGGCTCCGAGCCTGTAAACATGGAAGCCAATGACCTTCTGAGTCCCTTATGCTCTGAAGGCTATTTTCATTAATTTTCTCAAAATAACATGTGCGACCTGCTAAACGGGCACATTTGTAGAGAAGCCGCGGGAGTGGGCCTTGCTTACGCCAACCCAGTGTAAGACCTCACAGTGCTAACGAAGCTTCCTCTCCTCTCCACCCCTTTCCAGACGCGCATCGGGAGTTCCTTCACAGGCCCGCTTCTGGATATGTGCCAGAGGAGATCTGGAAGAAAGCTGGTAAGAATTGTTTAAAAACATGAGTTTAGTGTGCTGGCAGCTGTGTGCAGTTGTTACAGCAGCGATGTGAAGAATGACAAGAAAGGACTTCACTGCTGGCAACAACAATAACAACAAAAAGAAAGCAAAGGAAAAAAAAACCCTACGAAACGGAATGGGAGGAGAAAACCTGAATAATGTTCTGAACCCAGGCCTAAGTAGAACATGAGGTAGTTTTGATTTGAGCCACATCTACCAGTGCCATCATAATTGAGTGACTGGCAATATTCCTATAAGCTGCTATTTGGGGGGCTGTAATGGTTTCAGGCTGAAACTTCGCCTACAAAGTCTCAGCTTGCATGACGGTTTTTTCTTTCATGGAAAAAAACAAGTGGGTCTTCTAGAAATTAAATTGCATCCTTCAGCCTTTTTCTTTCCATTCTTTAAAAAGTAGTCACATCAGTGTGGTTGGGGAGGCACTCAGAATGTTATTGTTGCAATGTTTTGAAAAATGATTCTGGATGCTAATTAGTTTCGATGATCAAAGCTAAATTATTATTATTATTATTTTAAGCTAAATGACAAAGTTGCTGAGCTTCCAGTTTTGCTTTCCGTGCACGCTGTAGATACGCTCCTCTGTGCACTTGATAGGAGCCCTGGTGCTGTCGTGGTGGACTGGCGCCATCTGCATGGTGAGCAGATCACTGGGAGAAGACTGGGCTTCCTACTATGTAAACAGTTGCAGTCTAGGAAACCCACAGGGGGTGACTATGAGCCGGCAGCGAGTTTGAGAATGAGAATGGTAAAGCACCTGATAACCCGTGTCATTCGCCTTAAAGGTGTTCAGATCTGGCAGAATCTTGGTGGAACGCCCGCATTTTAAAGTTGGGCAAGGACCCTTATAAAAACCAACTCGGGAGCCAAAACATAAACCTGTTTCAAGAGTTAGCAGTGACATGAGAAACATGTGCTGCTGTAGCCCCAAATATTAAAATGATTTTTTATCAGTTATGAATCTGGGAAGTTGCTATTTCTGCAAATAGTCAGATGGACATCAGGCTTGAAACACTAGTCACAGAGGCAGGAGTGAAGGGAAAGAAAAAAATCTTTGTTTCAGCAAATGATTTCTCTGGGGACTTGATCGGACTCAGCTGTGTTTGTAGTTATATGCAACTTGCTGACTCCCTGGTAATCTGGCATTTATCTGAGGGTTTTTATGAATTTTCTAGCAAATCCCTGCTTTGGGAAGAATCATACATGCTCAAAGATCTGATAGTATCTAAGTTTTGTAGCATAAAATAAGAGAGAGAAAAATGTTGTGCTAATTTAATACATCTATCAGATAGATACATTCAGTTAAAACTAAAGGTTAGAATATGTAGGTTGACACAACTGCACAGTTTAACCAAATGTAAAGACTCCCTCTACTTAAGATTTTTCCGCTTGGGCAATGTGAGGCCTGAATGGTAAAATCAGTGAAGGGCTAGCTCCTAAAAGATAGGTTGGCAGTTAACACTCACCCTCTTGACTCAGAGGAAGTACCTGGGGATCAGCCAAGAAAACCCTCCTGGGGCAGCTCACCCCTATACTGCGGGTCTCTCTGGGTCAAACTGACCGACCGCAGCCAACAGCAACAACGAGGAGGAAGCAGTGATGCTGTGAGACAGCGAGGTTGTGAGACTGTGCCACCAGCCACCTGCCTCGGGAAAGAATTTCTGCATCTTTCTCCCACCCCTTTTTGCCTCGTACATATTCAAGTTGTCAGTACAACTTATTCCCGTATGAGAGATACAAAGATGGTCATTGTTGACAGCAGAAGGATGACTTCTTACGTCCGTGGAGAGTCTCTCTGTATTTCCCCTTTTCTGTGTATTGAAGTTAAATTCCTGATAGTTCATAAAGAAAAATTGACAGCAAACTCTTGTGTAATCCACATTCCTTCTGTGCTATTATCTGCTCAAGTCTTTGTTTGGCAGCTATTAAGGGAGAGCAGAGTTTTCTGAATGTAACACCTTTGTTGGAAAGTCAACTTGAATAGATGTGCACAAAGGCAGCCCTCCCATAAGTGGTAAGCAATTGGAAGCAGATTCAAAACTGCGCTCTGTATTTTGCACTTAATCAGCATTTTATTTTATTTTTTCAACTTGACATGCTGTAATCTTTTTAAGCTACCTCAATAGATTTCTGTACTGTCTTTTTGTGGCTATCTGAAACCAATTCTGGATATATTTTAGGCCAAGGGAATTAGAGAGTAGAGAAAGATACAACCTTCTTATTGGTTGTGTCCATCACAACCAATCATCTTTAAACGTTCCCAAGGAAGCATTTTGAATACTTTTTAGGTGTGCTTATCTATATTGTCTTTAACCTCAATATGACTTAGTAGTAGTTTAGATTAGATTAATACTATTTCCATAATTGTAACCTTGATATGCTGCTTAAGAGCAGGTTGGCTGGATATTGTTTTAATGAATAGATGGATGCTAAGTTTTAGAGAGTAAGAAGTACAACTCATTTCATCTGGAAATCTCAAGCAACTGCTTATAAAACCTGGCCCTTTAGGCATCTTCACAAAACCTTTCCGGTGTTGCCTGTCCAGGCCCCTAACACGCCGGGACTCCTACAGCAGGACTAGGCATCTGCGCTGCTCAGCCCTTATCTTTTGACAGTGGTTTTGTTTTCTTTCTTCCCGAGGATTCTGTCATTCGCGCTGGGCAATGGTTGTTTTTAAGTAAAAGCAAACACCTATAAAACACGTGCTTGCAGAGAAAGTTTCACACATTACCTTTAGGTCAGTAAATAAGTAGATACAGTAAAATAGAAAGTGTGAAAACTACCGAAGGAGTAGGACTTTCAAAATATAATGTAATGTAAATACCTTTTTTTCTTAGAAAAACGTAATTGCAAGAAAGTAAATCTATGCTTGAAAGTGCATAATATAATTGTTGTGTCAATTTATTTGGAAATGATTTCAAATGTACAGAAAAGTTGGCACACACAGACACACAAAAAGGAGTACAAAGAAAACTCTGTACTTCCCTTACCCAGATTCAGTGTCGCTGCATTTACTTTATTCTCGCCTTTCTTTCCTTCTAACAACTAATATATATCCTACTATTTTGATTCATAGTAAATTACAGGTATACCGTATACACTCGAGGATAAGCCGACCTGAATTTCAGCTGAGGCACCTAATTTTACCACAAAAAGTGCATAAAAAAATGTGCTGAAAACTCGGCTTATGCACGAGTATATACGGTATTCTTTTCCTCCACATCATTTTAGTCTGTGTTTCCTAAGAACAAGCTATTCATTTACATAGCCTCAAGACTGCTACCAAAATCAGATATTAATATTGATGCAACGCTATTACTTAATCTACTGTCCCTATTCAAATTTTGCATGTTGTCCCAAATAATACAGTATAATACAGTAATACGCATTTTTAAAACTAGAGCCCCTAATGGAGCTGTTGAAAGCCATAGCCATCTCCCCCACCCCAAAGCTAGTGTGTTTTATAAGAAGGGCCAAGATATCAAAAACACTTGAAAGTTCTAAAGATCTTTTATAAAATTGAAAAAACAAACAACAAAACAATGTTGGTTTTAAAATTGCACTGAATGTTTTGTTTTGTTTTTCAGTGTATTTCTTTGCAAATGATCAGAGAATGTTTGCAGTTGGTAATAAATATTCAAGCACCTTGCAAATGCCCTACCAATTCTCTTTGCTGATCTGTATATGCCTGTGGGATTAGAATAGGAATGCATAATTTAAATATAAATTGCCTGATTTGCATATACAATTAGTCAAGCTGCAGCTTTGATCGTAAGCAAAAATTATTGTCCTGTATTACCACTTAAATAGAATTTTAATTCACCTTGAATATTCAAACTGAATTAGACCCTGACTGTATAGTCAGAAGGGCAGTACTTCCCTGGTGCCTGAAGTCCTTTTTGATAGGATCATAAAGGCATCTTTTTACCTCCCGGTGAAGAAGATGCTGCAAGCATTGTTTGCACTCTCTACTGAGCCAATTCAGATATCTTAAATGCATATCTTAAAGCAAACAGCAAAGTCTTAACATATTTTAGTTAATACTTCCAGTCTGGATCTTGCCCTTATATTTCCGTTTACAAACTAGCAGGCAGTGATTGTAAAGGAATGTAGTGCAGAAATAATGCTGCTAAAATGACAAAAGTCAGGGCAGTTAAGTACTCCGGGAGAGCTTTAGATGATGTAAGCCAAGAACTGTGGATGTGTGAAGTAAGACCTTAGAAATGAAAGAAAATTTCAGTATTTCATACATCTCTTGCATGTTTAATCTATAATAAAACAGTTTTATTAGGAATTTATGTTTTTAATTGAACAGAACATTTAATTAAGGTGCTTTTTAAGCGGATGAAACAATCAAGTGCAAACACTTGAATGAAACATGTCATAATTAGTTTTAATAGAGTGTTAATTGGTACTAGGTTTGCCAAGTTAATAATTACTGCTTATTAAATTTTCAATTAATCATTGTCATTTTACTTTGAATAAAGATGAAAATTAGATAAACTAATTCAGGGGGAGGATATTTTCCCTTGTTAATTAGAACAGTTAATTTTTTTAAATGGAAATGACTTGTTTTGGTTGTCAATCTTATGTTGTCTATTAGTCAAATCTTTGCACTTTTTCCAAAGCCAAAAATGAAGCGCTAATTTAACACCTTTCAGCTTTGTGGTTAGAGCTGGCTGTTTGGGCCTCTGGTATGATTCAGGTATATTCGCCCAGGGCAACAGTAGGTTGTGCAAAACTCTTGTGTGCATCTGATTAACTAGTTGACTGTCAGCTTAAAATATGGAAATAAGATGATTTTTAGAAACTCCTATCATTTTACCTACAAAGGCATTCACATTACTCAGGAAATGACTTAAGAAAAAGAAAAGCTTGATCATCGGTTTCATCATTGATTTCCTTTAAAAGGTCTGCATTAACCTAATTGCTATATGAGTGGCCTTTGCACTATTGTGTTGCATTTT